TCCCCACCAAGAACCGGCAGCGCCGGGGCTGCTTCCGCGTGCCCATGGTCTACGCCACCTTCCTGATCGACCTGCGCAAGGAGGACACCTCACACCTGGCCTTCTACCCACCCCACCCCAACTACACCTGGGCCTTCGATGACATCATTGTCTTTGCCTACTCCTGCCAGGAGGCTGGTGAGGGTGATGGGGGTTTTGGGGGTGCAGGGGCTGGGGGGGTTGTGCTGCTCACCTGTCTCATCCGGCAGGTGTGGAGGTCCACGTGTGCAACCAGCATCACTTTGGTTACATCAATGTTCCTGTGAAGGCCCACCAGACGCTGGAGGATGATCATGCCAACTTTGTACATCTCACGCTGGAGGCCATGGGTGAGTGCCATGGGTGGAGAGGTCCTGGAGGCCTCCAGGTCCTGACAGGGCTGTCAGCCCCAGCTCCCAGCCAGGGGAATCTGGGCTCCACTGTCTCCTCTCTCCACAGTGGATGGTCCCCCCATGCAGCGCTCCAGGCACATTTCTCTCCTGCCCAGGCCGCTCACAAAAATGGGCTTTGATGAAGTAAGTGCTCAGTGGAGCTGCTTGTGTTCCCCTGTCCATCCCTCTGGTTGTGTCCATCTCTCTGACTGCATCTATCCATGACAAAGGCTGAGCCTCTGTCCCCATCCTGCAGTAGCCTGTGTGTCCCCCATGACAACATGTCTCATTGTTGGGGCTCTCCTCTTCCTCCCCAGATCTTCCTCATCAACCTGGTGCGGAGGCCAGACCGGCGGCAGCGAATGCTGGCATCCCTGCAGGAGCTGGAGATCATTCCACGGGTGGTGGATGCTGTGGATGGCAGGTGACCATGGGGGGACCACTCAGCCAGTCCCCTGGTGTCACCATGGGGAGGGGACAGTGAGTGTCTGGTGGGACACCTCACTGATGCAGCCCCTTGCCTTGCAGCACCCTCAACAGCAGTGACATCAAGGTGCTGGGTGTGGACTTGCTACCCGGGTACTACGATCCCTTCTCCGGCCGCACGCTCACCAAGGGTGAGGTCGGCTGCTTCCTCAGCCACTACAATATCTGGAAGGAGGTATGGGGCCACAGCAGCCACAGGGTCCCTAAGGGCCACCAGCAGTGGGCAGGGACCTGTGAGCATCACAGCTGTCTGGAGGACCTGGGGAGAAGGGGTGTCCTGCAGGGTCAGTGGCCCCACTATGGCCCAGAGCGGTGCTGGGATGGGCTGGCACCTCTGTCCCCTCTCCCAGATCGTGTCCCGGGGGTTGGAGAGGTCGGTGGTGTTCGAGGATGACGTGCGCTTCGAGGCTGCCTTCCCAGCACGGCTGCAGCGGCTGATGGACGAGCTGGAGCGGGCACAGCAGGACTGGGACCTCATGTAGGTGCTGGGGCCAGGGGGATGTGGGGTGGGGGGCCCCAAGGCTGGTTCTCATGGCTCCCTGGCCACCCCACAGCTACCTGGGGAGGAAGCAGGTGAACGACGAGGATGAGGCGCCTGTGGAAGGCGTGCGGAACCTGGTGGTGGCCGGGTACTCGTACTGGACGCTGGCCTACGCCATCTCCCACCACGGGGCACAGAAGCTGCTGGCCACCAAACCCCTCTCCAAAATGCTGCCTGTGGATGAGTATCTGCCCATCATGTATGACAAGCACCCCAAGTAAGGAGCAGATTGTGCAGGAGGGTGCTGGCCTGGCCATGCCAGTGTGGGACAATGTGTTTCTTCTCTGCCATCACCACCTCACCCAGCTCCCCCCTTGCAGGCGTTACTCATGCTGGAGAAAAACATCTGTAGCATGAGCTCATTCTCAGCTCGCCGCTGCCTGGCCTCTGGCTGCTGGAAAATGGCCCTCTGCCAGCATGGGGTGGGGGAATGGGAACGGAGCTGGGGCTTGGTGTGGGCCCTGCACAGGGTCTTGGCCCCATGGCAAGGGGCAGGGAGCAGCCCCCTGTACCCTAGTGCTGGGGGGCTGTGCGGTTTCCTGCCCCTGGTTGAGGGTCTCAGCCCCGATTTGGAGCCCTTTCATGCCCCTCTCTGGGGTGGGGGTCAGTGGAAAGGCTTTGTCTGGGGAGGGGGAGGCAATTTAGGGGGTGAGTGAGCACCAGTGGGTGGGTGGGTGGGTGTCCTGGGAGAGAAGGGATTGGGAAACCCAATGAGCAGGATGGAGAAAAACATGGATCGGGCATGTAAAAGGCAGGCTGGAGGTGAACGGAGGAACAGATTAGGGCTCTGGACATGCACCAGCAGCAGCTGGAAGCCCCCTGCTTTCAGGCATAACAGCACCAGACAGCTCTGTCTCAGGGCCAGCTGGATGCTGTGCCAGAGACCCACTCTGTGCCAAGAGCCGGCCCCAGCTGGTGGGGAGCCACAGGTCCTGTCCTCTCTGTAATCCCTCCACAGTCCCTGCCCAGCCCCGGCTCCATGCCTGCTACCCCACATCCCTCCCTATTCCTCCTGCATGGAGCCTTCCCTGGGTGGCTGATTTGATTTTCCCAGTGCTTTTCTCCTCTGTGTGCTCCTCTGTAAGCCAGTTTTTTCTCTTGGGTCTGTTCCCCTTTCCCCAGCGAGGATTACAAGCGGCACTTCTCGCCACGGGACTTGCTGGTGTTTTCAGCTCACCCCCTCCTGGTTTATCCCACTCACTACGCTGGGGACAGCAACTGGCTGAGTGACACTGAGACCTCCACCATCTGGGATGATGATGCCAAGAAGACTGACTGGGCTGGCTCACAAAAGACACTGAGGGACTCACGGGGCAGCGCTGGCCACCTCCGCTCCACGGCCCGTGACGAGCTCTGATGGTGAGCAAGGCTGTGAGACCCGGGCACAGGGGACATGGCAGCTGGGGAGTGTCTCTCTGCACATGCCATGTTCAGATGTGTCCCACATGCCTAGCTTGTTTTTGTCATGGGGCAGCAGCTCTCCCTGTCAGACTCAAAGCATTGGGAAACAGAGACCAGACTGTCTCTTCCAGGTGGGGAAAGGGGTGGGGACACAGATGTCCCATGTGGGGCTGCGCTGGGCTGGAGGGGATTTGGGGACAGGGCCCTCCATCCCCCTGAGTCCATGCTGCTCCCCAGCCCCTTGGGTGAGGAAGGGAGAATGCTCCTTTTCCTGCTGCAAAAGTGTGGAAAGAGCTGGGGCATCTCCCAGGGAACGTTTCAGCCCAGCACTGCTTGCTCCCCTCAGAAGTGGGTCTCCTTGGGGCTGTGGCCACGCAGGCAGGCAGGCGACCCACACTGGCTCAGCCCCAGGGCAGCATGGACACAGTTAATGCTGGCTCAGACTTTCCCTGCCTGAGGTTGCTTGTCCTGGCAGCAGAAGTGCCCTGGGAGCTGCCAGACCGGGGGAGGCTGGAACACAGCCCTCCCACTGCCTCACTGCAGGCGTGAACACGCTGGGGCTGCTCCTGCCGTGACCTCTGATGTCTGTGTCCGTGCCTCCTAGGGATGAGGGACTGTGATCCAGCTGGGAGCACCATGGGCAAGGACCTTTTACTGCCCTCTCCCACTCAGGAGATGCAGCTGCCCTGGACAGAGCCCCACAGGGTTCTTTGAACCTGCATGTGACAAATCCACCCGAGGCAGGATTTGCCCCAGGAAAGCCTTTCCCTGCCAAGTGGAGACCAGAGGAGCGCTGTGCTCCATCTCTGCTGAGGACACATCTCCAGGACAGTCCCAAGCGATGCCACCTCTGCCATCTCCACCAACCTGGACTTTGGGGAGTGGACTTTGGGCTGGCACACGTGGTGGCCTCCTGCCACTGACTGGACTCGTCCCTCGTGCCGTGCCTGGGTGGAAGCCCAGGGAGGATTAAAGCAGACTGACTGAGCTGGTGTGCTGGGTGCTGGCATTGCCCCAAGTTCCCGAGGGTCACCTCGGTGCTGCAGGGGTGAGGGTCTGGCAGTTCCCCCAGCTGGGAACTTTGGGAATAAAATCTGTAAGGGGGGAAGAGAGGGAAGGAGAGAGGTGGGGTGGGGAGGGGAGGAAGACTGAAGCTCACCCTTGGGGTCTGGGTGGGAAAGGTGGGTGGCATCTTCACGGAGCTCAGCTCTCCCCTGGAGTGTAGGTGATGGAGCAGCAGGTGGAGGCCTTGGTAGCAGACACCCAGAGAGATGTCTGAGACTACCAAGGGATTCAGGAAAGCCTAGTTTGGGGCAGGTTGAACAGCTACAGCAGGGACCTTTGGAAGGAAAACAACCAGCTGCAGATCACACGGGACCTGAAGAGCCAAGTGGATCTCCTGGAGAACAGGGAGGAGAAGGCCAAGTGCCTGTTCTGTAAGTGCAGGGTCCCAGCCAGTGTAGACATGGGTGAGGAAGGGATGACAGGTTGGACACACTTTTGCTTCCCAGCTTTTCCCCTGGCCCAGGCAGCCTCAGTGCTCCAGTGGGGATGGAGCAGAGGAATGTCTGGTGCCAGCTGGAGCAGAGCATGGAAGCGACAGAAACACTGTGGGATACGTCAGCCAGCAAGTGTCCCAGTGCTTGTTCCATCCTGCTGGGATGCAGGAGAGGAGCTGCCTTTGCTGGGTGTCTCAGTGTTCCTGGGTACAGAGCTGGGCAGGCCATGCTGGCACACCCAGGACTCTGGGACACAGCAGTGGTGAGGACACGCTGCCTCAGTCTGTGCTCTCCACGAGACCTGCAACGGGCCTGCGGGAAGCCAGAACTCCTGCAGCTGTTGGAAACTCCAGTTTCAGCCAAAACCACTGAACTCAAAAACACTGTGAGGCCAGCCCTGAAACTGCTGCAGCTCAGTCAGAGCAGCACGCTATGGGATTCCAGGCTCTCCGTGCTTGCCAGTTTCTCAGCAAAGCTGAAGTGCCTTTGGACTCTACAGAGCTAGCTCCTATTGCTCCCCATTTCTCACTAGAAGCCTCCCTCCAGGCTGTGCTGGTCAAACAGGGATGGGAACACAGATTTGAGCTGCAGTGCCAAGGACAACCCAAGCCTGGCAAGCGGCGCATGGAAGAGAGGCAGAAGCAGGCCAGAGTCAGGGTGAGGGTTTATTTAATTTCTGTGCCAAACTGAGGCACAGAGCCTCTGCAGGATTCAAGTGGGACACGAGCTGCCTGGATTGGTGTGGGCATGGAAGGAGGCTGCCCCAGCTCCCAGCCAGGCTGCCAGGCTGGGCCAGCTCTGCTCCAGCTCCCTGGTCAGTCTGGAGTGCCTGCAGCACCCTGTCCATCAGCCAAAGGGTCCTGGGGGTTTGTGTCAGCCCCTGTCCCCCGGCTCTGCAGGTGCTCGGCTCTGGATGTGCTGCAGCAGGCAGGTCACTGCCTGGGCCAGGATCTGCTCCAGCTTCTCCCTCTCCCCAGCACTGAACGGAGACAGGACATAGCTGGGCACTGTCACGTCACCCTCTGGCCGCCCGATGCCGATCCTGAGCCGGGTCATCTCCTGGGGAGGAAGGGAGAGAGCTGGGGGAGCTTCCCCTCAAGTGTGCAGGCAGAGTTAGGCACAGTGACAGTGCTGAGAGTGGGGCTGGGCAGCAAGGGAGCAGCTCCTCATGTTTTCCAGGTGGTTTTGAGTGCTTGCTCCAAGAAACATAATTTTGGAAGAGGCTTTAGCTGAGCTGTGCCGAGATCTCAGGCTCCTGCCAGGCCTGGCAGAGGCACCCTAGCTAATTGTTTCCATGTCCTCCATGGCGGCCAAACAGACAACAGCCCTCCAGGATGACGGGGAAGGAGAAAAGGGGGAGAAGGGAGCAGGGGCTCTTGTCTAAGAGGAATCAGAAAACTGGGAGTGGGGGAACAAGCCGTGCATTGAGGGGGGCACAGGATTGATCCCCTTCACCTGACACCCACTCACGTTGGACTGCAGAGCACTGATGCAGGATTGGACCCCATTGTGTCCCCTTGAGAGAGAAAGAGAAAATCCACACTTAGTTTGTAAGAGACACCCTCCCCATATAGCCCTGGGTCTCCTGCTGCAGGAATGTTGGGAATGTGATCCCAGCCAAGGGCTGCAGTCCCCATGTCCTGGTGCTGCAGGAACATCCAGCCCTGGGGGCTCAGAGCAGTTGGCTGGGGGATTTAGGGAAGCAGGGCTAGGACAGCACATTCTGTGTGTGTCAGCTCTTGCCACAGCTGGTGCATGTATGACTGAGCACTGGGGCCCAGCACCGTACCTGCCCCATCCCGCAGTGGAAGCTTTCCTAGGTTAAATGTCTGGTGCTGGGCAGGCACAGTGGAGGCAGAGTGCTATAAAAAACCCATGTGGGCTGAATCCAGCCCATAGCTGCTTCCAGGAGGCTCCCTGCCCTCCCTGCCAGGGCAGGAACTGGGAGGCTGCCCAAACAGCCAGCTGTTGCCTCTGCAATAGATCGAGTCCAGGACAAGAGCTGAAACGTTGCAAGGCTGGAGCCAAAAACAGCCCATGAACGTGTATGGGCATGTTAAAGCCTCAAACCAGCTCACACCATCAGGGAGCTGGGGCTACCCCATACCTTGCGCTGCCTCCCAGCTTGATTGCCACCTTGCCCAGGGCCTTGTCCAGGTCGTCGTGAACCAGGTAAATGTCTCCGGGGCCAAGGCTGTAGATCTCAGCTTTGGAAACAGAAATACAACCTAAGAAGTGAGGTGAGACAGACTCAACAGGCCCTAACTCTGCAGAGTGGGGCTGTAGTGAGCCATGGAGGGCAAGGAGACAGCAGGGCTGTCACAGGGGGCTGGTGCCACTGCAGGCTGTGGGGCTGACCCAGTTGCTCACCAGCACTGGCAACGCTGAGCCCATTGAGGTTCATGAACCTCCGTGGCTTGAGCAGCACCAGCTCCAGGCCGTGGGCTGTGGCCAGGGCCACATCAGCACAGCACCGCTTGTCCACTCGCCAGCCCTCGGCCACCGCCAGCTGCCGGGCCAGCCGGTCCAGCACCTCCATGCCCACGCTGTGCCGTGTGCCTCGCATCCCGTAGTTGCCCAGGCCGGCCACCTGCATGACAGCTGTCAACAGGGCTCTGACGGGCCACCATGAGGCCCCTGGCCCCTGCACGGGCCTGATCCCCTCCAGCATGGCTCACACCAGCTCCCTCCATGCTCCCCGCAGCTGGCCGGGTCCTCACAGCCTCGATCCCCACAGCATTCTCTTCACTCTTCCCTCGGTGCCTCCCTCACAGCCCTGATCGTGCTGCCGGTGCTCGCCCATGACCTGATCCTCCCCGGCACTGCCCTCACAGCCCTGCTTCGTCTGCTCCGTTCAAAGTCCTGATCCACCCTGTTCCCCTCACAGCCCCGATTCCCCCGTTCCTCTCACAATCCAGCTCCATGTGCTCTCCTCACAGCCCCGATTCCCGTTTCCCTCACAGTCCATCTCCATGTGCTCCCCTCACAGCCCCGTTCCCCGTATTCCCCTCACAGTCCATCTCCATGTGCTCCCCTCACAACCCCGTTCCCCTGACACTCCAGCTCCCCCCGTTCCCCTCACGGCCTCCCCGCCCTCGCTCCCCCCGCCCTCACCATAGCACGCGGCCCCGCCCGCCCCACGAGCGCTCGCGCGCTCCCCGCCACCTCCGCCGCCAGCATCGCCCTCCTTGCCCGTGTGACGTCACTGCCCCGCGCCCCTCAGCGCCCCGCCCACGTCGCCTCTCCCCCGCCGCCATCTTGGTTACGGGCAGCGCCGCCATCTTTCTAGCGGGCGGCAGGGCGGTGTCACGGGCGGTGTCGCGGTGTCGGGGGCGGTGTCGTGGGTGGTTTCGCGGTGTCGGGACGGTGTCGCCGCTGTGATAATGCCCCGCGGGCCGGCTGGTTGTGGTGGGGACGGTGAGGCGCGTTAAAGGGCGCCGCGTCCTGGGAACCCCCCCTCTCATCGAGAGCGGCTCTGCAGCGTCCCCGGGGGACTCGCGGGAGCAGCGAATGCCCAGGGCTGGGCCCCGCGGTTTGTCTGTCGGTGCCCGTTCCGTCTCCATTCACCCTGCCAGCAGGGCACAGCTTTGTTCCAGGGCACCGGGACAGTTCTCCAGCCCAGCAGCACATCGCTGTACTGGAAATTGGAAATCTTCCAAGTCCTTCCACACTACCCGCAGTCAGGAATCCATGTAAACACTTAAACTGTTTCGTTCTTATAAGATTTATTTTAAAATTAGAAATTCGTATTTTTGCAAGAGGCAGAATTTTTGCCTCTGTCTTTGGGCCAGCTCTTGGGTGGTGTCTAAAATCCCCAAAGCTCAGGGCCTGGAGCTGGCATGGTCCCCAAGCACTGGCAGCTCATTTCCATACAGGGAACAAGCAGAGCTTTGGAAGATTTGCAAAGTGTCCTTACACCCATCCCTTGAGCAGGTTGTTCCTAGAGAATTAATGACTCTGCTTCCCCTGACCTCTTATTCCATAACAGCATAGAGGACATTAAAATCCAGGCAAAAGCCAGGCTGTGCATCCCCTGCTTGGCAGTCTGGAGCACTAAGCTTCTCTAACTTGTCCCCACGTCCCCACTGTGACACTCCCCAGAAGCTGAATGGCTGCTGGCCCAGCCAAAGCCTGCAAGGTCTGACCAGCACAAGGATGTACAAGGAGCTCCACAGCTCACAGCACCAACTCTGCTGTAGAAACCATCAGTGAATAAAAGGAATTTTCAAAACCGTTAGCAGCACTGTGGGCTCCCCTGGAGGTAGGATGAGATTCTTCACGGCTGATAAAACAAGCAAGAAGTCTTTTGTTGTTGTTTTCCTGGTTTGCTACAGGGAAATCCTTTGGCCCTTAGGGGAAACATGGATGAAGGGGTGGTAGGGGAGTCTGGCTCATGGCAGATCAGGTGTTCCCCTCTCCCACATTACCCCTCTCATTAGTGTGGAAGCTACCAAGCACCTATTCACAGTGAAAGGAAACTGGAATGTGGGTGGCTCTAAAACTTCCTTGAAAAGAAACCCTGGTTGCCATGTTGAGGTGTTCACAGGAGTCAGCACCAGTAGGTTGTGCCAAGGAGCTGAGGCACAGCTATGCTTAAAAAGGTTTAAAAAAACCTGTTAAAATGCTGTAAGGAAGAAATATTTTTATATGGGCTCAGAATCTTAACCTATTGGGTATCAACAGCTGCCAGAAGTGGGGAGAGCTCTGGAGGGGTGCTGCTGACAGGGTGAGAACCTCCCTGACACTGCAGACCCTCTCAGCATCTTCCCCATGTCATCACACATGTCTCAGGTGGTGGATCCACCTTTACCTGGCCCAGAGTCAATCAGTAAAGTGCTTTAAATTACATAATTTGCACTTGTCCTGCAGCTGCATCCTGCAGCGGGCTCCTTGGAGCTGGAGAGAGCTCAGCAGGAGAGCACTTGTGCTGTGGGGAGTGACACACACACCATTCCCACTGCACATCCCACCAGCCCTGCCTGCTTTCCAGCTCCACGTGGATCTCAGAGAGGCCCTTGCCAGTGACTAGAAGAAAAAACTGATGCGAGAGGCCACTGTTTTGCAGCCTGTTGATGAGAATAATTTCTCCTCTTCTGGGAAGTAGGGGATGCTGTCAGCCACCTCCTGGACCACATCTGGGCGCACCTCGAGGCCTTGCTGGATGAGCTCACTGACAACACACTGCTTCACGTGGTGGTGCTTCAGTGGGAGGAAAGGCACAACAAAATCAATGAGATGCTCATTAATGATCCCAGAATTCCAGAAGCCACCTGCACAAGGAAAGGGAGAGAAGGTTTTACCTTCAGAGAGGCTCTGCAGTCCCTGCAATTCAAAGAGCTGCTTTGTGTGAAGCCAAAATACCCTGCTGAAGAGAGATCTTGCTGGTTTTGAACCCATCAGTTGTCACCTCCCCCCCAAACAGAGTTTCTTCCCCCAGGAATGGGGGGATTTAGCTTGTCTAGTCAGAATTTAAGCTCTGCTCCCTGTGCTAGGGGAAAGGCAAGCAGATGTAGGCAGGCAGTGGGGATCAATATAGCTCAGTGCTGTTCTGTCTGCCAGCCCCCAGCTGCAAACACACCTTGTCTCCCAAGACCTTTGCTAAATATGGCAACAGGTCTGCTGGCTCAGAAGGAAGGAAACCTCAAGGGGCTCACAGTTCCAGTTCCTCAAAACCCCTCTGTCCCTTTCTGGTTGCCTGGGAGGTAGCAGGTGGTGTGGGTGGCTTCCTAGAACAGGCCTGGCTGCCTGTGCTGGGCTGTGGAGCTACAGGAGGAGCTCAGCTCCATGGACTCACTCTCAGGGTTTTCAAACACGGCCTTGGAGATGGCTGGCTCCAGGTCCTGCAGGCTGATCTCCTCCCGGTCCTTGCGGGCACGCCACAGAGCCAACGTCACGTTGTTGATCTGCTCCCCTCCTGCATTGCTGCACAAGAATGAGAGCCTTACCCACTGTGCAGCCAGGAAAACGGTGTCTCAGGTGGCACCTGACACCCACCAGCCTGCAGAGTGCAAGCCAGCAGCTCCCAGCTGCCTGGCCCAAAATAACTCCTGTAGAGGCAGCCAAATAACAAGCAGAGGAGGCTTTTTCACACTCTCCAGATCTGTCTGTTCACTGTGAGATTGCATCTCTTGGCATTTGGAGAGGCTCAAGGCTTGGAGAAGGAAAGGCAAAACAAGCTGTGCCCTGAGGTAGGTGTGACCTATGCCCAAACGGGCAGCAGTGAGCTGGAAGGGCCCATGGAGAGGCCTCTCTCACCTGATGAAGATGAAGATGGCTTTGCGGTAGTTGGTGCCGTACACAACCCACGAGGGCCCCAGGAACGGGATGATCACATCAATCAGGCCTGGGTGCATCTTGTCCATCTCATCAAAGAGGAACGCTGAGCGTCCACAGCTGGTCAGGTTCCCCTGGATCCAGCGCTTCAGGCTCTCCTAGGGAAAAGCCCACAAGTGTGAGGCAGTGAGAGGGCCAGGAAGGCTCAAACACCCCAGGAAAGGCTGAGCAGGAGCTCAACACAGCCAGAGGTGTGAGAGCAGCGTGTCCCTGCACAGCACGACACACGTGGAGCTGAAACCCCTTTATTCTGGGTTTCACACAGTGGTGTTTATCAGCTTTTTTAAACCATTGTAGGTCTTTTTATACAGATTTAAAGGAGGAGGCAGCACACTAAAGCTGGATATTCAGACTCCTACAGCTCCCCATGTTCCTCTCGTTCCCTGTTGTATCCACAGTTCCCAGCTTCTTGCCAGCTCCTGTTCTGATGCAGAAACATGTGCCTGCACTGACCCAGAACAGCTCTTTATCATGGCTGAAGGTACCTCCCAGCCCACACAAAACCACTCACATTGCCTGGGGGCATGTGAAACTCCTCACTGAAGCACTTCAGCCGGGAAGGGATTTACTTTTCCAAAAGCATTTCCTCTAAGGACACAATACAACAAATAACTTCTCCAAACACACAGAAACTAAAGGTCCAGGTGTGCTGAATTCCCACTCTGCTGAAAATCTGGCATTTTGATTTCTCTCTTTTCTCAGCTCTAAGAGACAGAATGGCACCATGGAGAGTCTGGAGCTGCTGTGAGGGAGCTGTGTGCTCTGTGAGGAGGGGATTACAAGTCCAGTGATATGCAGGTTTTTACAGGCATCAGGCTGTTTGGAAAGCAATGGGAAAATTTTAGTGCCTTTCATCTAAGCCAAGCACTTTTGTTTGTGTGTTCAAAGAGCTGTGTAAATATTTAAGAATGAGAACACCATCAGGGCAGGGACTGCTGTGGAGAGGACGAAAGTAATAACTGAGTATATTGCAGTTACTAGTGCATCCTTCAGCCAGTGTACGGAGCCACTCTCTCAGCTATGTTTGTCTGAGAGGTTAAAACAAAGAGCTTTTATTCCTGCTGCACTTCAGGAAACAGCTTGAATGCATATGGACTGAGGATCAACCCAGACAGAGCCAAACCCCCCCAGTGAAGTGGCACTGCTGAGCAGTGTCCCTTACCTTGTACTGCTCTATGTGCTCGGCGTGGGGGAAATGCACGATGGGGGAGAAGTGGTGAACATAGGGGCTCTGGAGCCCCCTCTGGAAGAGGTAGCGGATGAGCATGGAGCTCACGTAGGTTTTGCCTGTTCCTGTGGAGCCGTGGAAGGACATCACGAGGGGTTTCACTGGGTTCGGGTTCTCCAGGAAGCCCCTCAGCCCCTTCATCACCTGCTGCCTCACCAGGGGCTGCCCCACCAGATTTGTAGCCAAGTCGAACTCCAGCCCTGAAACGAAGTGAAACCAGGACTTGGAGAACGCGGCTTGTCACCGCTGCCTGTCCCGTCCCTGGGGCCGCCCCGCTGGGCCCCTCATCCCCGGCTGAGGGACCCCGCTCCAAGGGAGCCCCCGGGCAGGCTCCCCGGAGACCCTCGCTGGCTCCCGGGACCCCCTCGGGCAGGCTCTCCTGGAGACCCTCGCTGCCTCCCGGGACCCCCTCCCCTGCTGCCCCCCGGCCTCGGCAGCTGCGCGCCCCCCACCCCTGAGGGTCCCCCTGCCCCCAGACCCCCTTCCCGCCCGGCCGCTCCCGCTGACCGCGCAGGTCGGGCCCGAAGCCGCACTCGCAGTCCGCTGAGAAGCCGCAGCGCAGCGCCCACAGGTCCCAGGCGGTGGCGGGGCGGGCGGCGGCCGCCAGCAGCACCAGCAGCACCCGGACCGGGGCCGGGGCCGGGGCCGCTCCGGGGGCCATGGCGGCCGCGCCTTCCGCACCGCCGCACTACAACTCCCAGCGTGCCCCGCGCGGAGGCGGGACCAGAAAGACCCGCCATGGGAAAGAGGCGTGACCATGCCCAAAGGGGGCGTGGTCTGTCCCGTATCGCCCCGCCTCCCACCTGGGCAGGGTCCCCGTCCCCTCTGTCCCCTCGTGCTTGGGGGACCCGCAACCCTCTCGCAGAGAACAACTTCTGAAATTCAACAAATGCAGGGTCCTACACCTGGGGAGGAACAGCCCTGAGCACGGGTACCGGCTGGGGGCTGATACAGAAAGCAGCTCTGCAGAAAAGGACTGGGGGTCCTGCTGGACAACAAGTGTCTGTGAGCCAGCAGTGTGCCCTGAGGGACAACAAGGTGGGATCCTGGGATGGATTAGAGAGAGTTTTGCCAGCTGGCCAGGGAGGTGATCCTGCATCTCTGCTTATATATATATATAAATATATATATATATACACACACACGTATTTATATGCCTAAGGGGGGGTGCCAAGATGAACCAAATGAACCAGGCTCTGCCCAGTGGTGCTGCAGACAAGAGTCAATGGGTAGAAACTGATGAAACTGATGCCCAGGAAGTTCCACCTGAACACAAGTAAAAACTTCTTTACAGTGCAGTGCAATGACCATGCACTGGAACAGATTGTTCAGAGAGGGCGTGGAGTCCACAGGGAGGTGGGAGCAGAGGACCCACTGTGGTCCCTTCCCACCTGAACCATTCTGTGACAGCACACAGCCCCCCTCAGAAGGGCTGTCTGTCACTGGGCCACCATGGGGTCTGGGGCCAGGCTCAGCATGGTGATTCCCCCCATCAGCCCTTCCCATGCTCTGCTCCCCTGGGGGGGCTCCTTTAAAGGACACCCACAGGACAGGGGGTCCCCTTGAAGAACGAGATAAAAGTTTATTGTATGTAAGAACCAAACCCATGAGGTATGTACATGTATTTACATGACAAAATGAATAAGCCTAATTATTTACAACAAGGACTGTCCTTCACAAGTCTGTACATCAAGAAGTCATCATGAAAATATATTTACACGCAGGATCCAGCAGCTGTGGGCAAGATGGAGATGGAAAAAAACAAAACCAAAGGGTGAGGCGAGGGGCACCATGTGGACCTCGGCAGGGCTGGGTGTGGAGGCCAGCGCTGGATGGCCCAGACACTGTCCCCACTCTTCAGAGTAGCACTGTGGACCGCTGGCTTGTTGTGTCCTGAAGAGGCGGGTGTAGATTTGAGGTGGCCGCTTTTCCTCCTCTTTGTCTCAAAATTGCTGACCCACGCCTGTGCCTTTCTGGGCCATCTCTCCTCCTCCTGGCACTGGGTGCCTGGTCCATTCCCTGCCCCAGAGCCACTGGTGGGCTGCAGGCTGGGAGCTGGGGGGGGTCACAGCTCGCTGAAGCGCACTGCTGGCTCCAGCTTGTGGGACAGGGCAGTGAGCACCTTGTCGAACTTCTCGTAGCGCTCAGCCTGGCTGCTCTCAGCCCCACGGCTGCCCCACAGCAGCCGCAGCTGGAACTCGGTGCTGAACACTTCCAGCAGCTCTGCTTTGCCCTGGAAACCTGCAGGAAGGAGGGAGAGTCAGTTCCCTGGGTCAGTTCCCTGGGATGGCGCCCCCAGCACCCGTGGGATGATGCTCCATCCTGGTGCTGGGATGTGGCAGAGGGAAAGGGGCTCTGCTGTCCCTGTTGCTTACCCTGCAGCTTCACCTCGGCGTTGGTGTGGTAGAGCCCACCGTGGTGGGCCACCATCCGTGCTGCCTCCAGGTGGGCCATGACCACCTCCACGCCGCTGTCAGTGGCCTCCCAGGGCTCGGGGCTTTCCGTGAGGGCATCATCCCGCTCCAGCAGGGTCACCAGGGGTATGATGTGGGGAAAGGTGGTGTTGGTCAGCGGTGGTCCTTCTGGGGAGAGAGGCACTCTTAGGACCCCACATGGCCCCATGACCTGCATCCCCCTCCCCATCTCCCTGTGGAGTGCTCGTGTGACAAACGCTGCCGTGACACCAGGCTGCCACCATGCTCCCAGGAGAGGCTCCAAGGCTCAGCTGGACACAGCAGCTGCTGTTTGTGCCTGGGGCCATTGCTTGTCCAACACCAGCCCCTCCCAGCCGGGGTTTCTGGGAAGGGAAAGCTGATGGCCATGCTCAGGCTGCATTTCCCGGGGCTGCAATGAGGAGCAGGTTTGCAGACCACAGAGCACCAGGCATTAGAGACACATGGCTTTTCATCTTTCCAACTGGCTGCCCTGTCCCTTGGTTTGGCACTCACTGCCATGCGAGCACAAGGGTTTGGCTCAGCTGCTGGTTTTATTTAGTTATGAAATGCTTCCTTGGGAAGGAAGGGGCAAACAAGGCCAGACAGGCTCTGCTGAGTGCTGGGGTGGCTCAGCAGCCAGAGGGTGTCTGGCATTGGCTGGGACAGGGTCAGAGCTCTCAAACAGTGACGCTGTGCCCAGACAAACGTGGGAAGGAGAAAGCAAGTGAGACAAGGGTAACTGCTCCAGTTACCTTTCCCTTCATTCAGGCTCTTCAGGAATGGCTTAAGCTTCTTCTCATAGAGGATTGCACCCTCGGTGTGCCGCTGCCTCAGCACCATCCAGGTCTGCTCCAGCCGGGCAATCTGAAAGGAGATGGGGCAGGTAGAGGGTGCTGGGGCAGCACAGCTTCCAGACACCAGGAGAACAGCCTGACCCTGGAGCCACAGTCCCCAGCCTTGCACTGGGGTGATGCTCCCAAAAACAGCTTCCTTCAGTGCCTGATGCTCCCAAAAACAGCTTCATTCTCCCAAAACCAGCCTCCTTCACCAGTGCTCATGGCCAGACACAGCACAGCTCTGGCACCGAGGCTGGGCTTAGGATTTCTTCCCCTGCCCGTGCCACAGGACAGCAACCTCCCTGCGTTGCAGCGGCCTTGAAGATGAGATGCAGGGAGGGGGCAGCCATTCCACCTCCTTTGTGCAAGCAGGAAGCAAGACTTCCCAGCTGGGCTCGATTTAAAATTGAATTTTAATCTCCTTTCATCTTCCAAAGGGAGCAGTGTGGCCCAGAGACGCTGCTGCCACAGCCTTGAGACTGATTTGTATTGTACCGGAGGGCAGATTCATTTCCTCCCAGGAACACAGCCCAGCACAAAACAAAGAGCCCAACCACCGAAAAACAATTGGATCCTGGCGGGACAAAGCTGTCTGCTCCGTGGAGGGATGGCTCTTCCCCTTCCCTGCCTGCATCCCAGCGGATGTGGCCCCATGCCTCCCACCCGGGGCATTCTCCCCTTTCACCCATCCCAGTGACTCTTGGGGCCTGCAGGATACAGGGATTCACTTTGAGCAGGAGCTGAGCCCAGGACATGAGCACTAAAGGAGTGTCCCCATACCTGTGTCATCTCCAGGGCGCTCATTACAGCTGCAAAGCTGAACATGTTCCCCATGGTGCTCTTCAGCTCGGCAGCCAGCTGGATGGTTTTGTGGAGCAGGGCTGCCCTCTCCTCCGTGCTGCCTGTGCAGCCCAGGATGTCCACAGCGATCATGATGGACATGGTGTGAAACCTGCCGGGGGCAAGACACAGAGCGGGGTCAGCACAGGGACAGGGGATGCTCTGGGGGCTCAGACAGTCCTGTCCCCTGGCCTGTGCCAGGCTGAGGAGGCCGTGCAGGGCAGCCCAGAGGGCTCACTCTGGCCAGGCCGTGCCGTGCCGTACCGTTCCAGCAGGTCCAGGCGGAGCTGGTGCCCGTGGGGAAGGGTGAGCAGCTCCATGCCAGAGCTCACCCCCATGAGCTGCTGCATCTCCACTGTCACACCCAATATCCGGGCCACCTGGCAAGGAAGGTGAAAGTTAATTAGAGCTTTGTTAATTGAGGAGAGGCTGAAGTGTTCTCGGTAGCCTCTTTCCCCAGCCCAGCCCCTGCCTGCCCTGGCTGATACACAAGGCAGAGCCCAGCAGGGATGCTCCAATGCTCAGGGATGCACTGATCCCTGCCAGCCCAGATCCATCAGATGGCAGCAGCACCCATCCCTCCCTCCAGGCCCTGGCCATACCAGGCAATCCACTTTGGTGATGTGTTTGGCCAGTGTCTTCACGTCCACCTCTGCCAGCAGCTCTTTGACCTTCTTTAGCACAGTCATCTCCAGAGGTTTGTTATCCAGGGGGATGAGCAGGGACTGGAAGGCAGCAGGGTTGAAGGAGGAGGTTGTTTCCATGGTGGGGGGCACAAAGCCCTTGAAGTCCAGCTCTGCTTTCAGCCTCTGCCCTGCCTCTGCTTCCCCAGAGCTGTTCTCCACAGTCCCTCTCTGTCCTTCCTCCACCTTTAGCCTCTCCACGTAGCTCTTTGCTGGCGGCTGCCTGGTGTCGTGGGCCGGCCTGTCCCTGCTGAGGGGCGAGCTGGGGTGCAGCTGGCAGTAGTGCCCCGTGTCCGGGTCGCTGTAGCTGCTCACCGAGGGAGAGGGGGAGGCTCGGGCGTACCCGTGGCAGGGAGTGGAGTGGGAGCTGTGGGCAGGGTCTGTGAGAGGTTTGCTGCTGTTCCCATGGCACAGCTGGGGCTCGCTGGACCTTCTTATGACCGGGGAGGCCGGGGTGATTCCAGATGCTTGGCAGGCATGTGGCTTTAGCCGTGTGACTGTAGGGAG